TTTTGGGAGTTTGAATAAATAATTATTACTATAGTTGTTTTTACTTCTGTTGATTACTTTTTTTGTAGCTTTTATGGTACTGATATATAAAGATGAATTCTTAAATTAAAGACAAAAACATAATTCAAATATCTCTTATTATTAAAAAAGTTTTTTTAAATATAAGATCAAAAAAAAACTATTTACAAAGGTTTTTTGCAATTTGGACTATTTGATCCAAGTGTTTTTTAAATTATGTTTCTATTAAAGTAATGAATAAATAATTATGCCCCTTCAAAAGAGACATAATTGATCAGTGAAATTTTATATACTAAATAGTTTAAGGATTCTTTCTTACTGATATAGAATTTCAGAAGTCAATATTTTGTGTAGGGACTGTACATGATCTTTTTGGGATGTTATTATTGAAAGAGGTTTTAATGGTATTGTTTATGAAATTTCAAGTTGGAAATATAAAAGGAAATCAAATCAAATTACTATAGATTTTGGGCCAGACCAAAAAATGCTCTCAAAAAAGCACTAGATAACTTAAAACTCTCCTTTGACTGTTCAATACTTATGGGTAGTGACAATCAACTCCATGATAATCTGGATAAACTCACAGCCATTATCTTCAACCATTTTAAGAAAATCTTAGATTCAAAACCTTTCTCTTTGGATAATGAATAAAATATCTTCTACCAACTACTCAATCACATTTCTGACAATACCTTTGACAACTTTATATCAACTATTTTAGATTTGGAAATAAAGAAAGCTTTTATCAATCTGCTCAAATGAAAGACACTTGAACTTACTCTTAGTTTAAATGAAACCTGAACTATACATGTGTTTGTATTTAATTTAGACATTTTTCAAAAACCGTATTATGTTCGTATTACTAAGTAACAATTAGTAAGTAATTAAGAATTATATTTAATTTGAAATCATATTGTCAATCAAATGTCCTTTTATGGTAATAAGAAAACATGTATACCTGGATCCATATTAGCATAACAGCAAAAAACTACCTAAAACTCCATTCAACAACTTGATTTCATCAAGTCAAGTCTCTAAATTCTAAAAGCAATCAGCAATTACCTTGTTATCAAAAAAAATTATCTGGTCACATAATCTTATAGACATATATTTAATCTCATTTATCGAAACAAGTAGAAAAATTTTCACAAAAATTATTAATAACAGACTTGCCACCAAGATTTTAAGGCACAAGGCCATCTCAAAATTCAACTATGCAGGTTTGAAAAACCAGAGTACTACTGAACCAATCACAGTAATTACCTCAAGTATCAATATAACAAATAACCTTAATAAAGAAATTTGGATAGCATCATTTAATATCTCCAAAACCTTCAACTCTATAAATCTTTCTAGTCTCAAAAAGGTTCTATAATGAATCTAAATTTCAACAAAAATTAACTTACCAATGATTAATCTACTAAACAAAAGAGAACTAAAAATAATAATATACTATAATATTTTCAACCTCTTTACAGTTAACAGAGGCCTTGACCAAGGCAAAACATTATCCCCTTTACTCTAGACTATCTTCTATAACCCTATGGTTACAAGAATAATAATGGAATATTCAGTATCCTCTAAAATTCTTGCTTACATGGATGATGTCACTCTCATTAATTCAAATATACAATATTTACAAGACATAACAAATATTTTTTGCTTTTTTTTGTTTATCAACTCTATCAAGTATAACAAAAAAAAAATAGAACTAATCACTAATCTCAAAACAAAAAACCAAAAAAGAAATCAGTTTGCCAAGAGGAAAAAAATTTATTCCAGTTTATATAAAGAAAGTATCAAATACTTAGGTATATACCTGTCAAAAAAATCCTTATCTATTGTCACAAAAAGCAAACTCTTAGAAAAAATTCATAAATTCATTAATGCCATTGCCTCACAAAAAGATTGGAATAGTTCGATAATCAGATAAGCTTCTTATTGGATTATACCAGCACAATTAGAATATATAATTAACGCATCAGTCCCTTTGGATAGAGAAATAATCATTCTTTAGAGGAAAATAAATAGATTAATCAAAGCAAAACTTGAAGTCAAGTGTACTATCTCCAACAAAATTCTATATTCATATGCCAGTCTCAATACAATTAATTTTCAAAACTGCCACAACTTAGCTACTATCAAAATTCTTATTATCAAACTTATCAATTCCAAAATCTTTTCATTTACCTCAAAAAAGATCATATCAATACAGGCTGCACAAGCTATCTAGTGTTGTCCAATTTGTTTTTTCTATTATTTTGAGGAGCTATGGATTATCTCCATCACCATACTTGCAAAAGGATATAAAATTCAAATCTGCCCATTTTCATGTCTCTTCAATTTAAACAATTACAAGCACTTAATAACAATAGTGAACCAGTGATGGTAAATAACTTTAAATGACCCATGTGACTTAAATGAATAATGACTTGTCATAAGTTATTTAAAAATAAAATAACCTAAATAGGTTATTTAAAAAATAAAATAATTTAAATAGGTCATTTATAATAAATTAATTATTGAACTTATGCAATATATCGACATAATATATTGATATATAGATACAATTTTTGTATTTTACATATTTTTAGATGACATAATTAGGATAGAACAGTATTTTCAATCAAGAAATATAAGGGGTTACTTACATGTATATAAAACCTTGGAAAGTAAATTCACGAATACAAAACTTAAGTCTACTATTTTTTTATTAATAAAGGAAAATAATCATGATATGAAAGATTTTATTTATCTGGAAACACCTATAAGAGTTAAATCCAATAGTCTCAATCTTGAAAGAACATATATGATAGATACTATTGTACGTTTTAAAAAAATTAACTAGATTAATTCAAGATCCTATTCATCCTAAGGATATTTTTGCATTATATGTAAATATTTAATTTTATTTAATTATAATTATTAAGGAACAAAAGAAACAGAAGCTTCTAATAAATCATTGAATAATTTCAATAAACTCCATTTTTCTAATGGATTATCTACCAGATGGATAATGCATCCACCCAATTCAAATTCAAGTAATTGACTATCTATAATTTCATTATTATCTAGACGATTCTCATTATTTAATGTACTAATCAAACTTTCAATCATATGCGACCAATATTCTTCAATATCATTGACTACATCTTTATTGATTATTTTGATCATATCTTTATTAGTTGTTTTAATTATATCTTCATTAATTGTTTCGATTATATCTTCATTAGTTGTTTTGATTAATTGAACTGAATTGTTGGGACTATTTGCTTCATTATCGCTAATAAGTAAAAAAGATTCTATTAATTCTTTTTGTATCATATCTTTATTATCATTGAAAGGTTGAATAGGAGTTGCAATATGAATTTGTTTATATTGTTGTTTAGTTTTTTCGACTTCATTATGGTTTCGCTTGCTTAATATATCACTACGCAATTGACTCATAGCTAATATCTTGTTATACTAAAATCAATGAATGCAATTAATAATAAAAAAAAGAAATTAAAATAATATTATATATATATACTTGCAAATGATTTCGGCATTTTGTATGTAAAAAACTTATGATCGACCATAAATGTTTAACAGAAGCAGAATTAACACAAATTCCAAATAATTGCAGGGCTAATCAAGATAATTCTGGTACTAAACCTCATGCTGATTCTCAAAAATTGATAATATTTTCATCAAATTGATTATATGTTTCCTTATTAAAAGAAAATGTCTCTCTTTGATATAATAAAAATTTACACAAAATACATGTTGGTGTTTTATCAAACCATACATAATAATAGTAATTTAACCACTAACCAAAATGCGAATAAGAGAGACCAGAAACCTTGGAAGAAAATTTCGAGAGCAAATATTTTGGGTATAAGACAAATGATAGAAGAAGTAAGGGTTGTTCCTATTGTGCCCATCGATTTTCCAATTGTGTTACTATATGATCAGAAAATTGCTTATTTTTATGATTCACGAAAGTCTTAATGAGCCATTCAAAACAATGTACAATTTCAAAAAGCCTAGCAATATTTTTTTGAAATTTGTTTAAAATTTTACATAATAAAAATAATAAATTTTTAAGTTCATAGAACTGAATCCAAAAATTAGAATTTTGTATAATTGATATAATTTCAGGTGCAAGCATTTTGATTGCCTTAGTATTTTCTAATGAAAATCGTTGTCGTAATTGTCCACTCCAAAAAGTACTTGCTGTCCCAATTCTTGTTGGAAAAAATTTTGTAGCTAACAACTAATTACAGATAGAAGTAATATTATTTAATAAAATTATCATATAATATATTTTATTTATAAAAAAGATTATGTACTTACTTTAAGTGCAGCTTCAGTTTTTAAAACAGAATAAAAACAAAAATAAAAACTGTTCCATCACGTTTCGCCCGAGGTTATAAGAGCGATAGTTTGTTCATAACAAGACTTTTGCTCATTTCGTAATAATTCGGTAAAATATGAAGACAAGTAAAAATAGCTTATAATACATATTGCATTTTTTGATATTTTTTTATATGTATCAGATGCCTTAAAAATATCACCAAAAACCAAGTTTATTTAATATGCCATACAAGGTATAAAAATCTTATTAGGATATTTAACTCTTAATTGACGCCTATAAAAAAAAGAATTAAGATCATTCAAAATTAATTAATATATCTAATATATCTAATATTTACCTTGCAGCTGCATATTTACCAGCAGAATTTGACACATAACAATTAATTTTTATATCTTTTTCTTTTGCGCTATTCATCATATCTTTAATTAGAAGTTTTACATTTTCTGTTCTTGATCATTGATCACTAATATCACATACATTCCAAACCAAAGCTTCACCTTGAGAAGTTATTAAAACAATACCAAAAAGATGCTCCTGTTTAATGTTCGTCCAATCATAAAAATCTGCCATTACTCCGATTTTATCTGCACGTGCATATTGTGAAATTTCTTCAACTGATCTTTTTGAATACTTCGAAAGAATTCAGTCACTTATTACTCATCGATTAGATAGTTTTAAAGCTGGTGCAATAAAATTAAAAACATCTTGCATTTCACAGTTCTCCATGAAAGTAAAAGGAAGACCATTTGATACAATCATACGTAATATTAAGTTTTTGAAATGTGGTTTGTCTTTATTGGATAGTGGATGTGAAATATAATTGATAAGAGATATTTAACTTTTTTTTTTGATATAGTAAATGATGAATTGGTTTTTGAGGTCTCAGAAGTTATGAAAAATGTGGTGAAATTTTCATCTTCGGATGAAGAATTGATATTGGTTGCTATTGATTTATCATATATTACAAATAATTAATATAAATAAAATATTAAAATATATTATATAATTAATATAATTACTTCTATTATTTTTTTTTTTGGTATCTTCAGGTACTGATCGTATAAGAATCTCCAAAACTTCACTTGTATTATATTGTTCCTTAAAGTTTGAACAATCTCTAAGATGACTCTGACATAATTATGCCTTGTTAAAAACAAAGCACTTGGGATTTGTAAGAGCAACAGATAAGGTATATTTTCATATACATAATAAACAAAACCACTTTTTTATTTGTTTTTGGATTATCAGGCATAACTAATTAAAAAAATTCCTGAAAATTATGATCTTTTTTATCCATTGCGACTGTTATCATGAAAAAAATTTATTAAATTAAAGAGAATGGATAATCAAATCAAATGAATTTATAAAAATATTCAATATGATGTTCAATTTCTATATATGTTAAATCAACATACTAATATAATGGTTTCTTTCTAATTTAATACAAATATGTATTGTTAACTTTGCCCACCTTTTTTATTTTCTTATCGTCATCTAAGCATCTTCTATAATCATTAATGTTCACAAAGCGAAAGCCCTAAATAGATGTTTAATGTTTTTTACATACTACTTGTATTACAATTTAGATGATAATTTAGCCAAATTCTTTTCTATGAAAAAACTTTATTCGTCACTCACATATAACACAAATAGGTCCTACAATTGTGAAGAAAAAGTTCAATTATTAGATTATCAATTACTATTACATAACAATAATTTGTGTCACATTGCTACATAATGATCCAAATGATTCAAATGATCACGTTCATTTTTAAATGATTCAAGTTATATGGTCACGAGTCATTTCAAATGACCCAAAATTTAAATGACCATAATGACCAGTCAATTTAGAGGCATTTAAGGTCATTTAAATAATAAACAAATGACCTGGTTATTTACCATCACTGTCAAACATAAAATTTTTTTTCTTTTTTTTTCAATTTTCTTTTACTTTTCATTTCATTTACGTTCAACAAAAAATTCTGAGTAAGTAAGCATAGCTGCTACTCAGCTACTGTATATTTAGCATATATAATATTGTTTTAAAAAATTTTTTTGATATTAGCTAGGTATAGATGTATAGACAGGCTAGTATTTAACTTGTTGTATGCTTTTTGCACCCAAGAGATATTGTTTCTTTCACAATATATATCTATTAATATACTAATAAATAAAGAAATGATGTTTACCTACTGGAAAAAAAAAAAGTTTATTATTATTAAATTAAATTAAAAATCTTCAATGTTTAATATATTAATTTTCACTCTGGAGTTATTTAATGATAATGAAGGTCCTCTGAGGTCTATACCCAAAGATCTTTAAAAATCTTTGCTAAAAAATTTTCTGATGAAACAATCAACATTACAATCATTATTGAAATCCAAATATAAATCAATAAGTATATACATTGGAGGTTTAAGAATATCATACATTTTGGAGCAATAGCAGGAAAGGAACAGGAATTTGGTAATAATAAAAGAAGAAATTGTGAATTACATTGAAGAAATTAAGATCCTGAATGGTAGAAGAATTTGTATAAATTTGCAATTCAAAAGGAAGGAATATATCAATATTATTAGAACATATATTCCATCCAGAAAGAACCCAGAACACATACCAATAGCAAAATAGATACAAGAAAAAGTATTAAAAAAACAAAGCAGTGACTAAAATATTATTACAATTGAAGATTTCAATGCTCTTATGGACCCCTATATAGACAAAAATCCAGCTGGAAGAAACAGGCTATCCACATTAACAAAATTATTCCTACTAATACATCTGCAACATATAGATATATTCAAAGAAGTATATTCAAAAAAATACAGATTTACTTAATCGAACTCATAAAATACATATACTCAAATAGACCACATATGGATATCTTCTGGATAGAAATGAAACTTGACATATATTTATATTACCACATCAAACATGTTTACATATTATAATCATAACATTTGCACATGTGAAATTGATATTACTAAAATAGTTCAACAACAAAAAAGTCAACAAAAACCATCAAAAATGATTATTTTCGACTTCAAAAACACCAGCCCAAAACAATAAAAGAAGTTTTAACAACAAATAGAGAATCAAATCATAGAACAAAACTTAAAACAAAATACAACAAAGATGAATAGCAACAAACTATGAAACATCACATGGCATGTTATTAGCAAAGCGATATATCAATATATCAAAAAATAGAAATATCAAAAACATTATCAAGGAAAAAAACTAGCTCCACCTAAAAAAAAACAACATCTACTTTCACTAAGAAAAATCAACATATGGAGAAACTGTCTTCTCAAAAACAAAGGTGATCTAGATACAGCCAAGTAAGCAATTTCAAAACTTATGTACAAAATGAAACAAAAACATAGAAACAATAACAACATGCAAATAGATAGGCCAGCTAAAAATGTAGTTACAAAAGAATAGCTTCATAATGTACAAGAAATATACAAGACAACAAAAAACCTATTACAAAAAGAAAACCAGGAAAAAAATAGAGCCACCATTAAACAACAAATAGAGGAAAGAATGTCCTGAATAGAATATAATCCCAAGAAAATGATTAGCACAATTTTTAACCAGCAAAGAATATGTATTATGATAAATAAACTAATAATCAAAACATTAGATATAAATGTCATCACAAATCCACAAGAAATCGAAAGAAAGGTAACATTACATTTTGCAAACTCCACAATAGAAACCAAAAACCTGGATAAAGAGACTTGTGACAAATAGAAAAAAAAATACACATTACAATCAAATATTGATATAACATGATATAGTTCAATAATATAACCAATATCAATAGATAAAGTCAAAGTCACTATTACAAAAGCAAAAGCAGAGTTAGCTCCTGAAAGATCCAAGCTCAACTACACCATGCTAAAACATATTGGTAGTAAAGGAATTGAGAAAATTACACTAACCTTTAATAGAATTTTAAAATTGACAAAAACCCTAAAGCAGTGAAACAAAATTAATATTTATTCAATTTTCAAGAGAACAGATTGGCAATATGATCTAAACCATATAAAATCAATTGCTCTGTTAAAAACAATTAAAAAAATAT